CTGCTGAGACAGCGGTCTGGGACCTGTGGGCAGCTTTGGGGCTTCTGATGTGCCCGAGTACACGTTAACCAGCATCTCAGGTGGCGTGGTGCCAGATAAAATCCACATTAACATGCCTGAGAGAAAGCACGCTTCCCTCATCACACAGCTGGATGTGTGGGGACTTTGAGTAAACGCCAGCCCCCCACTCTAACCATACGTGTGGCGCTGTGAAGACAACAGGACTTTGCAGGGGCCGGCTGAGTACTGCCCTGAGGGCGGCCAGAGCTGTGCTTGGGCTCCCACCTGGTGCCAGTCTGAGGGTTTAGTGGGCACCTGAAGGCAGCCTGGACCTCACTGCCCCCATGGCAGAGCTCGTGTGCACACTAGCACCTCGCGCTCCGGCCGCACGGCCCAACTGCTGACCCGAGGTCCACATGGCTGGAACCTGCAGGGTCGCAGGCAGTGCAGCTACCTGCCTCTGCTCAGACGGGCGTGTTTACGTGGGCAGATGCATGTGACCTCTGAGACCCAGACTTGCAGCACAACTGCTTGCAGGGTGGGACAGACCTGTGGGGACTGCCTGGGACTGGGCCAGTTGTTACAGGTGTCCTCTTCATCAGGACCTGAGGATGCTTAGCTGTGAAAACCGAGGGGGCAGAATGGAGTGTGTGGGTGGGGGGTGAGTGCCAGATCAAAACTGAAGGGCATTTATGTCTCTTAACCCTGGACCATAGGCAGGGGCGGTGGAGCCTCCCAAGGAGAGGAAGGTCTTGGTCTGCTTCTCCAGGACCACCCAGCCCTGAGCTGTAGCCACTCAAGAACAGCAATGAGGACACCTCCAGCAGGAGGGCCTCACAGGTCTCGCCTGCCCCAGGGCTCCCACTGCCCTGCGGCAGCTTCCGTGGGCAAGCCATGCAGATGGCTGGGCAGGTACCTTTCAGCATCTTCACAGCCACGGTGGTGTACCCTGCTCTGCCTTTCAGACGGAAGGCTGTGGCCTTGACCACTTTCCCAAACTCGCCTTCTCCCAGAGTTTTTCCAAGAACCAAGTTCTTCCGAGGGAATTCCCACTTCGGATCCTCCTACATGAAGGTTAGAGAAGGGGCGGGAGAGGAAGTGGGAGGGTCACAGGAGAGGAAGAAGGCACGACCCATGAAGGACACCCCTGCCCCACCACCATGGATGAGCACAGAGTGCAGGGAGTTGGCTGCCACTGACCAGAGTGGGCACGGCCATCTCCACCGAGAGCAGACCCACTGCCAGGCCTGGTCTCCCTGGGAAGACAAGAGTCATGCAGGCAGCCTGGACACAGTGCAGCTCCCACTGGCCCGGGGCCACTGAACACACCCGAGCAGATCCAGGTCCACATTCTCACCTCTCACGTGAGGGACTTGGGACTTGCTTGTTACCCACAGAGCTCACGTGGGCATGTGGTCTCCTTCTTAGGAGTCAGGCCCAAGCTGCTCAGCAGTGCCTCCACTCTGGACACCAGGCCTATGGGGCACTGACCAGCTGCAGCCTAGGCCCTGGTCTGTCCTGATCACTCAGGGACCCCAGAGTATCGGATGGGCACCAGCAGCACAGCCTGCCCTCAGGTCAGGCCCCAGTTCCCGTGGAAACGTTCCAGGAAACTCCCTTGCATGGCTGCCCTGTGGAGTGGTGTCACCATGGGACACCTCCAGCCCACGGTGTGGGACTGTCCCTCCTGCCAGCTCACCACCCAGCCTGCCCTCCCGCTCAAGTCCCAGACATACACTTGGCCGACCCACGACTGCTCTGGACCTCTCCAGATCCCCATTCCAGCCCCACATACTTGGACTCTGACTGGGGAAGCCAAAGCCTGCCGGGATCCTTCCCTCCTGTGCTGGCATTGGGCGTCCATTGCCCCAGGCGTCCCTGCAGCTGGAGTGGGCACAGCCTTGGGACCCCCCTCATGATAGCCCTACTGGGCTCCCTAACCACAGAAATGGCACCAGCAGGGACCTGCCTCCCCTTATAGTCACGAGGATGCCCAGCGAGCTCCTGGGCTGTCCCGGCCCTTCTCCCACACCCCAAGAACCCACTGTCCTCCTCCCTTCCTGAAGGCAGCTCAGTGAAGGCAGAGATTGTCCTGGTGCTGGCCACCTGTGGGCTGTGACCAAGTGTAGCCTGAGTGTCCCTCCCCATCAGCCGGCCCTGTGGGGGCTCACCGGGATCTTGAAGGCATCCACAGAGACCTGGTTCTCCATGGAGTCCAGCGAGGGCCGGCGGGCGCCAGACGAGGAGTAGCTGACTGGGAAGGCCTGGGCGGGCCGGCAGAAGGTCATCTCGGCCGAGGGCATGGGCGGCTTGTGGGCGTTCTTGTGGTAGCGGTGGATGCAGAAGGTGGACAGCAGCACGGAGACGATGAAGGAGAACAGGACAGCCGCGGCGATCACGGTCCGGCACAGCTCGTCACACAGCGGGCCTGCGGCAGGGGCGTGTCAGGCACAGACAGCGCGTGCTCCGGCAGCCCCACACCTCAGGGGCCGGCTCAGGCCCTGACCATGGCAGCCAGCTGGGAAGGAGCTGCCAGGACGGGCTCCGGCAGCCACAGGTACTGCCCTGCGTGCCCGCCCCTCCTAGACTGCTATCACCTTCTTTCAGCTGGAGACAGGGGCAGCACAGAGAGGTTGGGCAACCTGCCAAGGTCACACAGCACAGTGTGTGACAGCTGGCAGGGCAGGTCAAGATGCTCCTCCGTTCCAAATGTTTTTGCTATTTCCTTTGTGAAAAGGCGGAATGAGGGCTAGCTCATAGTTAAGGGAAAAGGATCCCACATGGCCACCCAAGGTTCAAGTTGCAGTCCCACTAGCCTGAAAAAACATACTGGGTACATGTGCATGTGGCCCAAATCCCTATAGGATGCAGAAAAGGAGGATGGACTGTGGCATGACCACGTCCATTGGGGGTGCCCCCCTGGCCCTGTGCCTGTACCTCTCTGGTAAGCATAAATACCATGTAACAATAAAAACAAAAACAAACAAACAAACAAGGTGGAAAGGGGTGGTGGTGGAGGTTAAAAAAGAAAGTTGCCTGGGGCCCAAAGTCACATGGCCACTCAGACACCAGGCGGGTATCTCGGGCTCGGGCAGGAAAGCCCCACTCCCCCCAGCATGGTTACTGTGACCCGCGGCACCTGCCGCCCCACGGCTGTTGCCTGAACCCTCTCCTGAGCCGGATCCCAGCAAGGGCTCTGCACAGGACAGCCTGACCATACAGCGAGTTCTTTGGAGAAAGAATCCCTTTTCTGGCCCACCCTTCATCACAGACACTTTAGAGGGACCCCGCCCACTCCTGGCTGCCCTGATTGGATCCACAGTTGGAAGACCAGACCAGACCTCCTAGAATTTACGCATCTCCTTGCGCCTCCTTCTTGCTGGGAACAGGAGGGTGCAGGAGGTGCGGGGGCCTGAGCGCCTAGCTTCTCACCCTGGCTGTCCTCGGGCTCGCAGAAGCACTTCCGCTCCTCGGGGAAGCAGCTGCAGATGCCGTAGCCAGCTTTAATGCCCCGGCGGTCCCCTGGCTCGTGCCCCCCAACGATGTCGCCCCCTAAGGACAGACAAAGCCCCCTCAGACCTCTCGGGGTCCCCAAGGTTGAGGGTAGAGCCCCCTCCCCACCGGATGTCAGCAAGCTCAGGCCAGGGAGGCCCTAGGAGCTCAGACACCCAGCTCCCGGGCCAGGGGCCTCAGCCACGGCCCTTCTGCTGTAGTTGCCTCCATGACCAGGGAGAGAATTGGGGGGGCCCAGGGCCCTTTCCGAGGTCCCAGAAAACACATGCGGTTCCTTTCCAGAAGCAGAGAAAGGGTGGGTGATACAAAGGTGTGGCCCTGAGCTCTGTGATAGGCCAGGGCGGTGCTGGAGGGCGGGTCAGGCCCCCAGACTCCCAGCTTCAGGACGCAGAGCCCTTCATTCAAGAGCAACGTGGGGAGGAAGCTCAGCTTGACACAAGACCTACACACGCACATGCACACACGTGACCACAGTGGTGGAGGTACAGGCGGGAGGCCACCCGCCCCCTGGCAAAATGCCACCGCCGCGGGCCGAGGGCTGCTTACGGAGGCAGTCCTGGGGGCAGATGTGGGCGCTGCGGCTCTCCACAGCGTCGCAGTGACCGTCGGGACAGGTCTTGGTGCTTGGGGAGCAGGTGGAGAAGTTCCTGGTGATTCCTACATGGGACACACAGCAGGTATCACCACCTGGGGTCCCTGTCCTGGGGCCCCCCGGCTGGCCTGCCTCTCTATGAAGGGGTGAATTTTTTTTGCTTTTTTTTTTTTAAGAGATTTTTATTATAGGGCACATGCACTCACCAGAGAGACAGAGAGACAAAAAGTGAGAAATCACTCCCAGGAGGTATGGCCACACCACAGTCCCTTATCCTCCATTCTCCTCTTGGGATTTTGAGTGCACATGCATGGGAACCCGGCATGAGTTTTAAGTCACCAGGTCCAGGACTCAGACCACAGTCGACTACCTGGGAGTCCATTACACCATCAGCCATTACACCAACTACTGGTCCTATTATCAGTTTCCTCTTTGCTTAACTGGATAGTAGTTTTCTTATACTCCAAGAACCCATTCTGCTCAAACTATTTCTAATGATTCAAAAGAAAGGAACCCTCACAAATTCATTTTATGAAGCCTCTATCACCCTGATCCCCCCAAACAAACAAGGACATAGCAAAAAAGGGAAACTACAGACCAATATCTCTGATGAATATGGACGCAAAAATTCTCAACAAGATAATAGCAAATTATATCCAACAATACTTACAAAAGATTATACACTATAATCAGGAGGCCTTTATTCCAGATGCAAGGGTGGTTTACAAAACCATAAATGTAATACACCATATTAACAGAAAGATAAAAACCATATGGACCTATCAAAGCATTTGATACACACGCCACAATCCCTTCTCCTCCATTCTCCTCTCAGGATCTTGGGCACACACGCACACGCACCCGGCGTGAGTCTAAGCAGCCGGGTCCAACCGCAGTTGACTACGTGGGAGTCCAGCGACATAGCCATTATGCTAACTGCTGGTCCCTGGAGGGGTGAATTAAGGCCTGAGCAGGGAGACCCACACACAGAGATCCCTGGGCGGGGGTCCTGGTGGCACAGGCGTCCTGGGCAGCATGGTTGAGGGGTTGGGCAGTCCAGGAGCTGCGACAGCCTTCTGTCAAGGCCGGATGACACTGGGATCCTCTCAAGGGTAAACTGTGGTGACACTGTCATGACACCAGGCACACTCAGGGCTGAGCAACACAACGGGCAGCCCCTGCGGGGGTATGCCCTCTGCCCTCTGTCCCTGCATGTCCCAACTTTGGCCCAGAACCTCCCGAGCCAAGCGAGGCCTGGGCACCTCTGGTCCCAGGGTGTACAATGGCTCTCATGCCCCTACTCAGTCCTCCTGCCTGCTCTCCCAGTACCATGAGCCCCACAAGGGACAGGGTGCTGGGGAGCAGACTCAGAGTAGGGAGGGGGATGGCGGGCTCGGCAGGGCCTGCAGGACCCAGCGTTCGCCATGCCTGGCTCTGCACCAGCCTACCTTTGCCGTCTCCCTGCTTCCACTCGCACCTGCCCGTCGGAGAGCCCAGGCCGCCGCACTCCTCACACTCGGGCCGCCTCTTGTTGATGGCACAGGACAGGGTGCAGCCTGCCTTCTCAGCCACGTCTGGGGACAGCAGACAAGCAGGGTCACAGGGGCCGGCCTGGGCCCAGGAGGCAACTCAGCACCAGGGCAGCAAAGCTGGTAGCCCAGGGAACAGCGGGCGGAGCACAAGGGGACAGGACCCTATGCCCACAAAGTGGAGCAGATCCTGGGCTAGATGGAGGAGGAAGGTGTGAGAGCGGCCAGACTCAGCCGGCGCCACTGGGCGGAGCGAAGCCGAGTGGAAGTGAGCCTCAGGTGAGGGAGGAGTGTCCATCCTGTGACGCACGGACCCACTGCAAGTCTGTCTCCCAGGAGACCCTGTAAGTGCCGTGCGGGACAGCCGTACTACAGAGACAGACAGCTTGCTGTCGCCTTGGAATTCACCTTTGGGCAGGGTCCTGCGTTCTACCTGGTAGCCCTGAAGCAAGCACACGTACGGGATGTGTTGACGGTGGTGACAGAGTGGTGATCATGACTACGTGGCCAGTCAGCCCAGGCTAGGCTGGCTCCACTCCCCCACCCCTGCCTCCCGAGCTGGGCAGTGTGGTGTGTAGTTCTCATTTATGGGAAGGAGACTTGGGTTCAGGGAAGCTGCTGCTGGGGAGGGGAGTAGGACTAGGTCCCGTCCCCCCGTGGAGCCCAGCACTCACACGTCCCCTCCACTGTGACAAGCACTGGGGCCTGGGCCTGCTCATGGGCCTGCGTGACACCGGCCACCACCGTGTACTGAAACTCAGCACACTCGGGCCGCTGTAGCGTCTCTGTGTTGTTCACGAACAGGGTCCCCGAGGTGTCCTCGAGGGAGGTAGCCACCTCCAGGGCACTGCAGTTGGTGCTGGAGGGCTGCAGCCTGTATTGGACGTCGACGCCGCTGAGCTCCCGGCAGTTCTCCACACAGACCTTCCCAACCTAGGGGACACGGGGAAGACCTTCGCTCAGGCCCAGAGCAGAGCCAGCCCCTCCGACACAGTGGCTGATGCCACAGAAACACCTGCCCCTGGCCTTCTCGCCCTCCCGTGCAGAGACTCACTTCCCGGTCCTCATGCCACCATAACACCCACTCGAGGTCCCTGTGTTCCACTGTCAGCCACACAAACTGGGGAGGGGCTGAGAAGCTGGGATGAATCCGAGGCTGAACTGGAACTCAGGCCTCTGTCGTCTCCTGGGTCCGACAGAATGCAAGTGGCCCTCCTCCATACATGCCTACTCCTGCCTAGGCCCTCCGGAGCCACCCCAGGCCCTGCTGCCCAGCACTCCTCATCCCTCACCCCTGCCCCACAGTCATGGGGCTTGGATATGACCAAGGGTGGGGTCCTGTGTGCTGGGCCCAGGAGGCTGCTGGGAGTAGACAGGGACAAGGAAACAACTGTGGGAACTCATGAAACCACAGGGACAGCAGCAGACAGCCCTAAACACGACATCCACAAAAGGACGTATCCACACGTCACTCCACTAGGAGAAAGTGGAGCTAGAATTTCAAGTCAACAGTGCTCAAGAAAACATCTGAGAAAGAACTGCACCGACAGACTACACTCCAGGGGGGGGTAAGGGGAGAAGGGACTACTCTGCCATGTTCACCTTCTGTAACAAGCACCTCTTCCTTTAAGTTTTCCACTTCTAATCACTACTTTCCAACGGCAAATGTAAATTGAAGCTCTCTAGCAGATGCACTTACAGAAAGTAAAACAATGCAAGCGTTCCCCACCTTCGCCCCCAGAGGGCGCCACTGCTCACCACTGTCTGGTGCTCTTGCAAATTCCCACGGAGGAAATTTGCTTTTGTGCAAATGGACTCACACGAGGCCATCGTTTCTGCAAGCTACCCTCCCTCTCAACAATCCCCCAGGAATATCTTTCAAATCGGCATTTGTGGGTTTACCTGGCTCTGTTCTTATATATGTACGAAAAAATTTTGAAGATACTGCAAAGAGAGAGGGCAAAGGACAGAGGAGAGGACCAAGGAACCCTCAGCCCTGCCCATTGTCCGCAGGCCTCCTCTCAGCCCCCTGTTGCCCTCCTGCCACTTCTCTGGCCCCAGGCTCATGGCTCCCCCAGGCTACTCTGCCCTGGTTGGGCCAGAGGATGGGCATCATCTCTACCCAATTCAGCCTGCCGTCTGCTAAATGGACCACCCCATCCTGGGAGGCCACTGGCCCTTCATGGTCGTCCCCAGGCAGGCAGTGGCCATGAGCTCACCTGGGCAAAAAGGCGGGCCCTCCTGCTCACGGAGAAGGAGTAGGCACGGGGAAGGCGCAGGCTGACAGGCAGCAGGGACACGTTGAAGTGCAGGAGGAGCACGCCCTCGCCCGGGCCCTGGAAGTCCGAGTCGTTGACCAGCACGGTCAGCTGCAGAGCGCAGCTCTCGGAGATGGAGAGGTTTCTGTTGAGAACCAGCTCTGCGGGAGAGCATGGACATGCAGGGGAGCTGCTCCAGGCCCCTCCCTCCCGCCATGCCACGCCGCGTCCCAGACACATACGCTCATGTGCAGTGCCCAGGTATCATGCCTGGGGTTAGAACCAGTTTAGATGCTGGCCAGAGGCACAGGGGTAGAGCCCTGTGCAAACGGGGGGCTGGATCCCAGATGGCTGGGATCTGGGATCATGGTTCAAACCCTTGCCCCAGAGCTTGTAAAACATGCCTGGTTCATGTACATACATGCCTAAAACCTTAACAGGGTGGAGAAGTGGAGAAAGGAGATTGTGGAGACCCTGCTTCTCTAGGGTGAGCTCTTTCTCTCTGGCAAGCAAATGTGCCCTCCAGCAATAAAAAAAAAATGTCTGTTGTGTGGAGCTAGAGGCTCAGAGAACTGCTCTTAGCTGAGACATAGCCTGTGTGTGTGTGTGTGTGTGTGTGTGTGTGGTGTGGGGGTATGTGCGCATCGTTCGTGGGGTGTGTTATGTATTTGTGTACAGGGTGCACGTGTGTGTAGTGGTGGGTGTGTATGCTGTGTTTGCATGATATATACATGGGTGTGTGTGGTATGTTTATGTGGTGGGTATATGGTATGTATGTATGTGTATGGGGTGTGTGGCATAGGGGCTGTGTGTGTATGTATGTATGACGTGTACGTAGTGTGTGCATAGGGTGTGCATGTGTGGTGTATGAGTAGGGCGTGTGATTGTATCCAGGGTATGTGGTGTTTGCACAGGAGGTGGGTGTGGTGTGCTGCGCTGCATATGGGGTTTGTATAGTGATGTGTGGTGCATGCACAACGTATGGTGTAGAGGGATGTGTGGTATGCACAGAGGACACGTGACGCATGTACGGCGTACAGGTGTCGTGTGGTGTATGTATAGGGATGTGTGCATGTGTTAGTGTGTGTGCAGTGTGAGCACACGGGAGGTAACAGCCTGCCACCCTGAGTCCCAGGAGGACCATGCCCCAGCCCTGTAAGCCGGCCCCTGGAGAACCACAGACACTCCCTCCTCTGCAGCTGCAGCTGCCTCTACAGACCCCGCAGGCTCCGGCCCCCCGCCGCATGCCATGCTGCAGCTGCAGCTTAGGTGAGGCATGATGGGATGGTTTTGGCACACGCGGTGTTCCCATGTAGGGCAGGGAGCCCCTCCCTTTTGCAGCAGCGCCTTCGTAGCTTTGGGAACGGGAGGGCTGAGGGACCGACAGGACCAGGCCAGATAGGATAAAGGTTCCATGATCCTAGGTCCCCAAAAACAGATTTCAGGAGACCAGGCAGGGAAGGAGGCAGGGCAGCTGAGGAAGGTCCCTGCCAGGCCAGTGAGTTTGGGCACCTGGAGTGTAGTCCTGGGGGCCAGGCAGCAGTCCCCTGACAGGGGGTGCTGTTGCACACACCCAGTCAGTAAAGAGCTGCCGGGGGCAGGCCCTGGTCCCCAGGCACTAGAGCCGCTTGGACATAGCAAGCCAGGGCCAGTGACCCAAGTCCTCAGGTGACGATGCGCATGTACAGTCGGCAGTGGGCCCCGGGTGGTCAGCCTGGGGATGTGGTGAGGTCCTGCCAGGATGAGCTGGATGGGTCAGAGAGAGCAACCAGGTGTCCAGAGGTGAAGACTCAGACCCTGGAGGAGCCAGCATAGGGTGGAGGGGAGGCTGCAGAGGGTCACGTAGTGGGCATGTGTGTGGGTGCTGCCCCTGGGCTCTGGGGGCCCAGCCAGGCCACGCTGCCAGCCCTCTTACTGTAGTCATGCACAGTTGCCCGCACGAAGCTGCCGTTGGTCTGGACCGAGGTCTCGTTGGGCAAGTGCTCCACACGGAAGGTCTGCTGTGTCCAGGTGTCCCCGGGGAGCAGCGTGCTTGTGTACCGCCTCCTGAGCTCCCCTGACGCTGGCACCACGTCAGCATCGAAGACCCGCAGTGTGGCGACCTCAGTGCCCTGAGAGATGCAGAGGGTGCAAGTCAGAGCTGGTGATGGGGTTCCTGGAAGGGTGTGTGCCTGGGCATAGCCCTCGTGTGGGCAAGGTGTGTGTCATCAGAGCTGGCTCGGGACAGACTGATGGGTTCAAGGTCCCATGGGGCTGCTTGCTAGCCTGGTTCAGTCACCTTCCTTGGGCTCCTGGGCCTCGCATGTGCAACAGGTGTGACAGGCCCCCACGAACTTCTCAGGAAGAATGAACAAAGACACGCAGGCTCTGTGCTAACAGGTCTCACCAGCCACCTGCTTGTGCTTCTCCCGTCCCAGGGTGGAAGCTGCACCCTCCTGCTCCCACCTAGCTGAGTCCCACAGGGCGAAGATCAGTTCAAGGTTGCACGGTGCCAAATGGCAGAACCGGGATCCAAGCTGGGCTAGACACCAGACCACTCTTAAGCGTCTGCACACTGGGCTGGAGAGGTCATGAGCGGAGCTACAGGGCGTCCTTGCTCACCAAGTCCTGTTACTGTGCCAAGCGGCCCAGCCACACGACCTTTCCCCACAGGATGTGTCCCCCTCCTCCACAGTGAAACCTGTACAGGGGTGCCAGAGAGGCACAAGGCACTGCCAGGCACAGGGGTCCCACCCCTCCCCACCCTGCGTGGCACCCGCGAGCCGAACCGACTGCAGGACAACCTGAAGTCCAGCAGGTGGCGGCCACGCTCCACCTGCGAGGGTCAGAGAGGGGTGGGTCGGGTGCGCGGGCCTTGCCCGGACTCAGTCGACAGCCTCCCAGTCTCTTCCAGCCCTGGGCTCCAAGGCAGCACGCAGCAAGCGTCTCCCCTGTGCAGAGGCACGGCTGTGCCCCAGAGTGCCCGGTGGGCCTCTCCACCTGGGCAGAAACTGCCCTGGCACCCAGGGCTTCCAAATCAGGGCCCAGCAGGCAGAACCGGCTCCTTCGTCAACACACAGACAATAGACAAATGAGTGGACGAATGTCAGCCACAGGGTTGGACGGCCAGAGTAACAGCTAAACAGACCAAGGCCAAACTGCGGACCGAGGCCGGACAGATGGTACCCGGATGACAGAGAGCGCACAAGCACCTCCTTCCGCTTGAACTGCACTACGGCGCTGGCGGTGTCCACGCCCCCGGGGAAGGTGGGCGGCGAGTCGTCCTCGTCATACACGGTTACCAGGAACGACACCATCACCTCCTCCAAGCGCACGCGGGTGTGCACCGTGCACGCGGCCACCAGCTCGTACTTCTCCCGCTGCTCGCGGTCCAGGGCCCGGCGGGTGCTCACCTCCAGGCTGTCAGGGGCGCAGCGGAAGGGCAGACTCTCCCCTGCGCCAAGCAGATCAAGGTCAGGACGGACTGCTTTCCTCAGGGGCCTACTGGGGGTGGAGGCACAGGAGAGCCCTGGGCAGAGCAGGGCACGCAGGCCAGGTGGCCCCTAGCGTGGCCTTCATTCCACAGGGGTAAACCCACGCAGGGCAGATTTTCAGGGACTGCATGTGCCCACATTCTTCACTGGTGACATGGGGAAGGGCAGGATTGAGTCCCTGGGTCACCCAGGGCGGCCCTAGGACACCCTTCCACCCACCAGCCTTGACCTGGGGAGGCAGCTCCAGCTCAGAGGAAGCTGCAGGTCGGAAAAGCCTGCTCTGGCTCTCTGAAGAATGTCAGGGTTCTTTTAAATTATGGAGATGACACGTGCTCCTTTTAGAGAGCAGGAGAAATCAAGCCACAATGCTACCGCTTGAAAGCCAGCATGGCAGCCATCCGATGTATGGTTTGAGGTTGACAAACACATATTTCTGAGTGTCTGGTTTACACTCTACTCTAGACCTCCTGGCGGTGTGGCCGAGACTGGTCGTCCTGCCTCTCTGCCCCAGTGTCCTCCCCAGAAGACAGGATGATGACGCTAAAGAGTCTGGCTCACGTCCGGCGCTGTTGGACCCATTCTACAGACAGAGATTCAGCACTGTCCTGGTCCCAACCTGTCCTGGGATCTGTCCTCTGGAAGTAACCAGAAAAGGGGCAATGCCCAAGGCTCCCGGAGCCAACCAGGGAGGCTAAGGCAGCCCCGCTGGCCTGCCTGTCAGAACCAGGCGTCACGCATCCTATTAAGTCCATGTGGGAGATGCTTATCACACCATTTCCCTCTCGTTTGTGGTTAAAAAAAATCTGCCAAACAAAATCTGTAGCAAAAAAGAGCAGCACGCAAAACCACGCGCTCTGCCCGCCATCTGGCTCAGACCTCTCCCCTGCCCCAGGAAGGTAAGGGGAGCTGAGGGAGTGTGAGGGCGGCTTTGGCTCTGCTAGCCTGGTCTCCTCAAGCAGTCTCACCCTGAGTGTCATCACCGGGGGTGACACTTAGTGGCTGTGCAGCCTCTGTGGCCTGTGAGTCCCCATTCTTCTGCTTTAAAATGGCTGGGGGCACATCTGTGTGGACGCTGAGCTGCTACTCCTAGATCCCTGGGGCTCCAACCCCGGTCCTGGCCTTCATGCTGGCTGCACCCCCTCTGGGCCATCTCCTGGGAAGGGCAGCTATACCTGCTGATGCTCAGATGGACCTGGACCCATCCTTGGTCCTGCCTTTCCGCAGCACCCCACCCCCGCCCACGAGGAAACCCTGCTGGCTCTTGTCAAAGCACGCCCAGAAAGTGCTTGCTTCCTGGGCCCTGCCCCTTCCACCTGCAGCCCAGGCCCTGCTTCTCACTCGGAGGTTCTTCTACGGTCTTCTGACCGTCTTCCACTTCCACCGTAAACCTCCCACTGCCTTTCAAAGGTAAGCCAGCTCCTCTCAACTCCACCCCTACTCTCAGGTCTTTCATGACTCTCCATGTCCCTCAGGACAGTCTTGAAAGTCACTCCCAAACCTACTCCCTCTCCAAGGACTGTTCTACCACCTCAACCTTAGTCGCTCACGGAACTCCAGCCACATGGGGGTCCCACCCTGGCGTCCCCTAAGAGGAGAGACCGGCACCCTGGGGCCTCCTGGCCTTGCCCAGTGTTCCCTGCTCTGACAATTTGAAGTGGACACCACCATAGCACCTTCGCTCAGCTTTCCTGTTAGGCCGAATTAGCATAATCACCGCCATGTTAGGCAATGCTGGGGCAAGTTAGCTTAATCACTACCCTGACGGAGCCCACTTTGTTAGGGCCTCAAGGACGGAAACTAGGAGCCTGGGAACTCTCAGATAAGTGGAAAACGGGAGGGCCCAGCACCTCCGAGGCAAGGTCATCCAAACCCTTAGTTGAGAGCCCTTACCTAGACCTGAGCAGGGGGTGAAAGCTGGACCCTCGTTTCTCATCCCCCCCCCCTTCCTTTGTGTGTTACAGTCTAGAAAACATCCTGAACTGTAAAAGATCGCTTTATGTTAGGTACGGGGTCCTGGTGAAGGCCCGCTGCGACGGGCTGAAACTTGGACCCCAGCTAGCTGGAAAAATAAAAGCTTCTTTTGCAGCTGCATTGTCCTTGTCTTTTCTGTGTCTCCATCAGTTAGACCGATCTCTGGACCCTTACACCTCGCACCCAGCGCCTTCCAGAAACCACCTGACTTCCTTGGCATGTGAGTGGTTTCTGCCCCACCCTGCCTGGGAATGGAAACCCCGGGGCAGGGTTCTAGCCCATCTGTTCCCTGCTGCATCTGTAGCTTCTAGAATGGTACCTGGCCCGTGGTAGGCACACCAGAGACAGTTCTGGAACGCGCAATGGAAGGATGGCTAAGCGGTGAAGAGCAAACCGTCTCGCGGCAAGGGCTGCAGTGCCAGCCTGGCACAGCCAGCACTCACCTCCCAGGAGCCTGTAGGTCACGCTGATGTTGGGGCAGAGGAACTGCGTGGGCAGCAGGCGGAACTGGTGGAAGGTGCCAGGGGGCTTGTTCTCCCGAATGCGGAAGGAGAGGCTCGCCTCGGGGAAGCAGAGCTCCTGGGGCCTGAGGGAGCTGCAAGCTGGGAAGGAGGTGTTGATGAAGGAGAAGGACACGCAGGCACAGCCTGGCCAATGGCACTTTCCCTCCCGTAGGGACACGGGCGACAGGAAGACGTGGAGGTAGACGGTGAGCAGGGGGAAGCCACCATCTGCAGAGAGAGAACAAGTCAGGCCCCCTGGGGTGGCAGCTGCACTTGCCAGGGGGAGGGGGAAACCCAGCCTCGCCACACTGACAGGGCTCCAGGGGGGCTCTCCCCCTGCCCAGCGTCCCACATGCCCACTCTAGGCATTCAGATCTCAGTCACACGCCCCCTCCGCAGGGAGGTGCTCTGAACCAGGGCCTGACATTCCCCCAACCCCGACAGGTGAGCGGCTTCTCCAGGGTTGGCGCTGACACGCTGACAGCATGCGAGGCCAGCAGCACCCCTGCCCACCACAGCTTCCCCCGGTCGGCCTTGTCCGGCAGCGCCTCTGTAGAGACACCCCAGCTCAACTTCCCCAGCTCTCAAGTGTGTGTGTGGGGGGGTGTCTTCCAGCAAGTTCCACCACTGAAGTGCTACAGCACCCTGGGCCTGGATCTCAGAGGGGCAGGGCTCTTCCTGGCCCTGTCTCAGCCCTGGGCTAGCGGAGCCCCTCACACCCGC